TAACTACGAGCAATACTACTCCTTGATCCCTGCACGATGTCATGTAGGACATCATTCCAGCAGAAGGGTGAGAAATATTATCATAATAACAATGCATATAATTATATATACACAAATACACAAGCACAAAATACATATATTCCACATTTTCTCACCACAATTCATTATAACTCATCATGTACAATACAACATATATATATATAATCAAATATGGATAATCACCAAGCATATTCATCATGCACGTATCCATAAATCTCAACATTCCACATGAACATACACATATTATGTTTACTCACTAGTTCACAATTACACATTCACAATTCTCAAATCAACAATTCATGTTCATAAGCATACTTTCATACAATGATCACATATTCACAACTCTCAATTACACAAGTAATGCACATACGCATATGCATAACTTCATACAACAATCATATATTCATTCCATGAGACTCAATGCAACTCAATGCAACTCATGCCATGTGGTACCAACACTTGTTATCATTTTTCGGTTTTTACACTTAAACCGGGTCCGTTCCCTAGACCGATAACAACAAAAGCCCGTTCCCTAAGCTTTCAAACCCCGCTCTAGGTTTGGGACAAGTCACTAGCCTCCACGAAACTAGCAAACATTGTCTCTTGACTAAATGATGCATATGCAATCAACAACAAAATGCACTTAAGACCGATCACACGTCTTAATCTCATGCATTCACATAATTCCTCCCTTCAAGAATTAAACAAGATAGCACACACAACATATCATATAATTAAGTATTCATACTTTTCATCAACATATTTGTCAAACAATGCACGCATATCTTACAATATGCTCCCATGCATTAATTCACAATAATCGGATACAACAAATATGCATTCATAATTCAACCTCATTACCTTTTCAAACAATGCACACATATTCACAATATGTTCTCATGCATTCTTCACATACAAACAATATGCATATATTTGTCAAAAGACTATATTTCATAATCGATTCCACCATCTAGGATTCATGCTATACGGCTACCCACAGCATATCATATCATAACATGCACAAGCTATACGTTATATAACAAAAGTATTCTGCACAATAACACATCAATCACACACATTCGCGACGGTAAAAATCAACACAACAATATATTTACAATTTTCTGCTATAATTGAAATAGGTACAGGCCTCAAAGACATTTTTTCTAGAAAGATAATCTCGTTAACTTACCAACGCTTCGAACGGGGGTCAAAACCGACTTACGGTTCAAGAGTTATGAATTTTCGAAATTTTCTGAAAAACCAAAATTTTGCCTAAACATGGCTACGGGATTTTGCATTTTCGCCCGAAAATCCGACCGATTCAATTCTTTTTTTCGAAACAAATACATACTCATACTCACCTAACATATAGCAGTGAATTAGAACCATTAAACACGATTTCTACGACGTCCGATTTTCACTCAAATCTCAAACCCTCAATTATCCAAAAATGTCAAAACTCACTAACTCAACCAAATTCAATCAAACGAAATCCAATAATCACGGCTAAACATTACCCGACTAAACTATGCAATTTATTTTGAATTCTAACCGTTCAAAACTCGATTCTACCGATTAAACCATTTATGCCCTAGAAATGGAAAATAGAGAAAACTACCAACAAATCCAACACAACTCATACATAATCATACACATTGATCAAATAATAATGTTTCTCACCCTTACCTTGAATTTGTTGAACTTTTGCTCTTTCTCTTGAGTTTCCTCCTCTTCTTCTCCACTCCTCTCTTTGCCTCTTTTCTCCTTTCTATCTTTTCTTTCTTTCTATTCTCTTTTATCCCATTCTCTTATTTTATATAATTCTCACAATTTTAATTAACCTAGTAATTCCAATGGGCTTAATAACTCATGTCTATTCACACTCCCAAATAGGCCCAATCAATTAATCTAATAATTCTATATTATTATACAAATTAGAATATATCATATAAGTTAAATAATAAAATTAAATCAATTATTTCGAATATGTCCAATAATTCAATTAATCCAAACAACTCAAATAAATCAAATAATTTATATAAATTCAATAAATCAACTAATTCAATTATATCAAATAAATCACATAAATTAGTTAATTCAATTAGGCCTAAAATCACATAATTAATTAATTAATTTAATTAATAAATAATTACTAAAAATTGGGGTGTTACACCTCTCACAGGTATGGACCTATCCACTAATAAGGTTTGGCATCCTATGCGTTCATCAGCGTCACAAAATTTCAAGAAATGATGATACGTTCACCATTGCTGGTTTGGCATCATAGTCTCCCGAAGAGGCCCCACTTAGCTAAATCACAAATGATCGGTCCCCAGAGTCGAGAATCCTAAGATCCAAAATCCCTTCGAGCCCAAAGGGCCAGAAAAGAAATCATCAAAGAGAATCTCGTCTGAGCTCAAATTTCATGGTGAACTAGTACATGCAAAGCATGCACGCCCACCACTACTTTCCACTACTAATGATATGTTTGTACTCAAGCCCGGGTCCGACTTATCTCTTAGTGGAACATTCCCCCCAACAGCACAACAAAAATGATATATACAATGCTGAAAATAAATGCGGGAAAATAAAGTACAACACATATATACACACCCAAAGATTAAAAAAACAAGTGCTAGGATTGACTCGCATAGGGGATGTTCCCGTCCCCGGTAGAGTCGCCAGCTGTCGCAACTGCGAAAAACACCCGGAGGAAAACAGAAGAGTCGCCACCTTTTGTTATTTATCCCAAAGAGAGGGAAAGGAAACCACTACAAGAAATATTGCCTTTTCCCAAGTGATATTCACGTCACTAATGTAAAAATCACTTCACTAGCCAATGGTTGCGACGTGGGTAAAACACGCCGGGAATGCAATGGTGGGAACTTTTTCCCACGTGGAAAACACGTCACAAAGTTGTGACAGGATTACCACGTCGCAAATCACAAAATAAAGAAGAAAACTTCCCACGTGAAAACCACGTCACTAATTAGTGACGTGAAAGACATGTGGGAACTTACCTTTACCAAATTGCTTTGCACGCTTTCCTGACACAAAGTAAATTTAGTACCCATGTGATTCCCACGTCACAAAGTTGTGACCTTGTTATCACGTGGGAAACCTCACAGAATTAATATTCTTCCCATGTGATTCCTACGTCACTAATTAGTGACATGAGATTCACTTCACTATTAAATTTAATTATAAAAAAAAAATAATACTAACTGAAAGCTACTATAAAATTAAAATAAAGATTAAATATTAAATTTAAATTTAAAATTAAAATAATTTTTAGTTAAAATAATATACATTTAAAATATATAAATATTTAGTCACATGAAATTCACGTCACAAATACAAATAATAATAATAAAAGTTGTGACGTAATATTCACGTCACAAATAAAAATACTAATAAAAAAAATTATTCTTCGCCACTAAATAATTCATCTTCGTTTTGGTCATCATCTTCGGGAGAATAATTCGATCTCGAGGCAAAATATTTTCGCATTTGTGCCTCCATGTCTGATTGCCGCTTCCTCATTTCCTCTATTTCAGCATTTTGTCTATTTCTCATATCATCCATTTCGGCCTTTAGGGCCGCCTCACATGTCTCCGCCTCTCGTCTCGCCTCAGCTAGAGCTAACTGTCTCACTGTTGCCAACATTTCTGGTGTCAATTCTGCCGGACGCGATCCTCCTTCCCCATCATCGAGTCTTTGAAATAAAGTTCGGTCCCCTTTTCTATAATCACCAGCCAAAGACCCCAGACCAAAAAAACATCCATTAACTCTCTTCCCGCCTACTGTTAAATTCCAAATATAAAGATCAACGCGCGGATCAAGCGGTGCATCCCCAATCAGCGTATATTGAGGATTTTCAGTTAGAAATTGGGCAAGCAATGTCTGGTACAACTCCTACACACACATTAAAAAAAATTAAATTAAATATAATTTAAACAATTTAATTATATAGTAATTATGAAATTAAAAGTATTCAACTAAAATAAACAAGTTACCAAGGTTGATTTGGAACGACCGTCAACAAAGTCGCCCGATTTTTTGGTTCGAGTCTTCACAAATAGCTCATTAATTCGTGGCTCCCTCCCCAAGTCCTTTTTCTAATTAAAATAATGAAGCTTAATTAAATATATATAATAATACAAAAAAAAACTTTAAAAAATAGTTATAATTACCATTCGTCGACGATGTTCGCCGATACTGATACTTCCAACTGTATTAAGACAGTCACCTGCTTCAGATGCCCTCATTTTTTTAGCATGTTCAGATCTTCTCTGAAAATCTTTTGTCTTCCACCACTCAACAAGTTCACCAAATATTTCCTCGCCTATCCAGTTAGGACGAGTGTGATCTCTTTCCCAACGTTGTCTAGCATTCCTAAGCATGTCAGAAAAACAGTTCCCACAGGCTGTGCAAAGTGAGTCTGCTGAGGAAAACTAGATCCCCCAGGCTGCGGCGCGAAGGAATACTGCTGAGGAAGAAAACTAGCTCCCCCAGGAAAACTAGATCCCCCAGACTGCTGCGTAAACGTAGATGGTACCCCAAGCGGATGCATGAAGGATCCCCCAAACGGACTAATAAACGATGGATTCCCAAATGGAACCGTTTGGGAGGAGGAGAGTAATGTCGTAAATGGCTGTGAAGTGTCTATGGACATTAGATCTGCCTGAGACTGTGGGCGAGAAGCATACATGGGCGAGGGCGGTACCTCACGTACTCTGGCTCTCGAACGAGACTGGGTCTCCTTAGCCTTACCCTTGTCAGTTCGGGGTGGCATTGTATCTATTTTGAAATAGTTATCAATAAATAAATAATACGTAAATAAATCAAGAAAACTCTTCATGCTCTTCGTAAATAAATAATACGTAAATAATACATTTGCATTCATATAAAACAAATAATACATTAATAAAAATTGTCCGAACACATATAAAACTATCTATTCAAACTTCATGCTCTTCGGCCGTATTATTTTCATCATCTGATCCAATAATGTCCTCAGATCCAATATCTTCATGCTCTTCGTCCACATTATTATCTACCAACAAAACAGACGCATCAATTTGATGACCCTCGACCAATGTATCACACAAATTTGTAATTTCTTCAACTTCAACTAGCAGATTAATTTGAGAAATTTCATGGTCTTGGTAAGCAGCATCTTCCACTAGATCGCCAGTTTCAATATGACCCAATGGTTTTGTTTTGATTACAACACACCATCCACGTTTACGTGACTGAATTGAAGGGTACGGAACATAATAAACTTGTTTAACGATATGTGACATTATGAAAGGGTCATACTCTTTGTACCTTCTGTCCATTCGAATATCAACAATGTTATATTTCTTATCTATTTTTGTGCCCCTGGAAGATGGATCATACCAATCACAATAAAACAAGACAACTCTATTTTCCGAGTCCAAGTAATTGTATGCCAACTCGTAAATATGTGTAACAACGCCATAGAAGTCGTCTTCACCACCATCTGTAACTCCTTTAACAAATACACCACTATTTATGGTTTTTTTCCCTTCAGTCCACGTCTGGGTGTGAAATTTATAGTCGTTCACAAAGTATGTGTGCCATTCAATTGCTCTTTGAACAGGCCCTCTAGATAAGTTACGCAAATGAAGTATTTCTTGAGTCGGTGCAACAATGCATGACAATTGATCCCTGAACCATGCTGGAAAAGATGCATGTATTTGACCGGTAGTTGCATGTTCACTGGTGCTTTGAAAATAGGAGGCGTTAAATGCCCTATAAAGAAACACATTTTAAGTTAGATGTAGTAATTCAATTTGTAAAGCCAGATAAGTAGATACGTTAGGGGTATACTTACTCAAGATATGGCCTAACTTCAATACAGTTAATAAGAACATGAACGTGTGCAGATTGCAATTCTTTTTGGGTCAGCCAATGCACATTCTCCTTTCCAGAGGGGCGACCGGGAAGACCGAAGATTGACAAGGTAAACTGACTTCTTTTGTTAACATCAAATTCATTCCTTATGATTCTTGGAGTTAACATCAAATGATTGAAATAATGACTGCAAAAATGTGATGTTTCCCGATGCAAATAATGTGCACATATTGATCCTTCAACTTTAGCTTTATTTTTCACTGATCGCTTTGAATCACCCATGAATCTTTCAAAGGGATACATCCACCTGTATTGAACGGGGCCACAAAGATAGGCTTCATATGCAAGATGCACAGGTAGATGCTCCATAGAATCGAAAAAACCAGGTGGAAAAACGCGTTCCAACTTGCATAGAATAACTGGAATATTTTGGTCCAACTTAATGATGCTATCGACTCTTAAAGTTGACGCACAAATATCTCTGAAAAATTGACTTATTTCAGTTAGCGGATATAATACATGGTTGGGTAGTGAACTGAACGCAATTGGAAGCAATCGTTCCATGAAAACATGACAATCATGACTTTTCATTCCATGCAACTTCCCAGTTTTTGTGTCAGCACACCTTTCTAAATTTGAAGCATAACCATCCGGCATTCTCAATTCATTTAACCATCGACAAACCGCTTTAGCATCTTGGGAAGTTAGACTGTAACATGCCTTAGGTTTTAATAATTTTCCATTAGGCCGAGGCTTCAACTCCAACTCTTTTCTATCACACAAAATTCCCATGTCCCTTCTAGCCTTCTCATTATCCTTTGTTTTTCCTTGAACATCCATCACTGTGTTAAATATATTATCGAAGAAATTCTTTTCAATATGCATAACATCAAGATTATGTCGCAATAAATTATCTTTCCAATATGGGAGGTCCCAAAATATACTTCTTTTTGTCCAATTGTGTTTGACCCCATATCCTTCAATTCTGTATGCTTCACCGTAATCTGTAAATTTGGGCAGTTCAGAAACTCGATTCCATATTTCCTCTGGTGACAATCGCGGAGGAGGCAAATCTTTTACTCGTACATCTTTTGTGAAATCAGTCTTGTTTCTTCTAAATACATGGTCTCGTGGTAGGAATCTGCGGTGACAGTCAAACCACGAACTTTTCCCTCCAAATTCCAAAGTAAAAGCCTTTGTAAATTCCATGCAATGTGGACATCCCATTTTGCCATGCGTACCCCAACCAGATAACATTCCATAAGCGGGAAAGTCATTAATAGTCCACATCAAGGCAACTCGCAAAGTAAAGTTTTGTTTGCGAGATATATCATAGGTCCATTCTCCAATCCACAACCTCTTCAAATCATCTATTAAAGGTTGCAAATAAACATCGATTCCAGATTTAGGACTTGACGGTCCTGGAATGAGGCAAGTCAAAAACATGTATGGTTTTGTCATGCACATCTCTGGAGGGAGGTTGTAAGGGGTTACAATAACTGGCCAACAGGAATATGCAATTGCAGATGCTTGGACGTATGGAGTAAAACCATCAGAGCATAGTCCGAGCCTGACATTTCTAGGTTCTGCAGCAAAATCAGAATGTACCCTATCAAAATGTTTCCATGCCTCACCGTCAGATGGATGCCGCATAATGCCTGAAGATGTTTTGTTTGTATGATGCCATGTCATTTGACTTGCACTATGCATTGAAGCAAACAATCTTTTTAACCTTGGTATTATCGGCAAATAAAACATGGACTTCACTGCTACACGTTTTTGTTTACGGTTAATCGCTTTACTACGAACTTGATATCTCGGACTCTTACAGAACTTACATTCCTCCAGCGCCTCATCATTAATACCAAACTCATTGTCATAAAATAACATACATCCATTTATACAACAATCAATCTTTCGTACTTCTAAACCCAACTTCGACACCAACCTCTTTGCATCATAATAACTTGTAGGCAAGTTGTCTTTCGTAGGAGTCGCATCCAACATCATTTTTGCAAAGTATTCCAAACACTGATCAGGAACATTCCAATTTGACTTTGCAGCCAATAATCTCACACACATTGATAATTTTGAATCTGCCGACCCCTCAAACAACGGTGTATTCATTTCTTTCAACAATTGGTAAAATCTTTGTGCTTCCTCATTCGGCAACTCTTCACCATCAAAATCCTGAGGTTCATCATATGTCACATTTACTCCAAATGCATTACCAACCATTTCATCGATCAGATTAAATTGTTCATCAAATTCCATATGTGATCGACTGCTTGATGCGTCTGTATTAGTTGTCTCTACATGTACGTTACTCGGCAGTTGTTCTCCATTATATGTCCAAACCCAATAATTTTTAATGAAACCCTTCCTCTTCAAATGACGTTCTACTTCCTCTGGGTCACTAATTATACGTCTACATTCACATTTAAGACAAGGACATCTCACTCCTCCTTCACGTCGACAACATTCTTGTGCAAATGCCCACGTGATAAACCCTTTAACTCCTTCCTCAAAATTTGCCGTAAGTCCACGTCTGCCTGGTAACGTTCTATCGTACATCCAACTACGATAGTAACGAAAATATTCGATACTGCACAATTGTACTATATATCATTATATATCATTTTAATAAAATATGTAATTTAAATCTATTTTTTCTATTTCGACACCAACCTAATAAAATATGTTAACTAAAATAATATATTCATTAAAGTATAATATATATTCATTATTTTTAAAGTAAAATATTGACTCATATAAAGTAAAATATATTCATTATTTTTAAGATTATAAGTTATAGGTATTTAGTATAAATAATTTGCCAATGGTATTAAAAAAATTATAGATTGTAGACTATTGACTCATATGTGTTCAAAGTTGACATTTCAAATGCTAATACGTGTTTTAGTTCTAATACGTGTTAAAGTAAAATATAAATTCACTAAAATAATATATTATACTAATATATATTTAAAGTAATATATATTCACTAAAATAAAATCTGTTTTATATTATACTAAAATAATAAATTCACTAAAATAATATTTTTCTATAATTTATTTTTCTAATAAAATCTGTTTTTCTATATTCACTAAAATATTTTTTATTATACTAAAATAATAAAGTAATATGTATTCACTAATATTTTTTATAATAAAATCTGTTTTATATTATACCAAATATTTTTCTGTTTTTCTGTTTTTCTAAAATAAATATTTTTCTAAAATTCAGTTTTTCTAAAATAAATCTTTTTCTATAATTTAATACCATTGGCAAATTATATTCACTAAATACCTATAACTTATAATCTTGAAGAAAAAATTTAAAATCTGTTTTATAATAAAATATGTTTTTCTATATTCACTAAAATATCTTTTATATTCACTAAAATAAAATTTGTTTTATATTATATTAAAATAATAAATTCACTAAAATAATATTTTTCTATAATTTATTTTTCTAATAAAATCTGTTTTATAATAAAATCTGTTTTTCTATATTCACTAAAATATTTTTTATTTTACTAAAATAATAAAGTAATATGTATTCACTAATTTTTTTTTATAATAAAATCTGTTTTATATTATACCAAATATTTTTTTGTTTTTCTGTTTTTCTAAAATAAATATTTTTCTAAAATTCAGTTTTTCTAAAATAAATTTTTTTCTATAATTTAATACCATTGGCAAATTATATTCACTAAATACCTATAACTTATAATCTTGAAGAAAAAATTTAAAATCTGTTTTATAATAAAATCTGTTTTTCTATATTCACTAAAATATATTTTATATTCACTAAAATAAAATCACAATACATAAAAGCACAATACCTTATAAAATTTAAAATTTAAAATCCTTATAAAAAACACAATACATATATCACCAAAATTTAAAATTTTTTAAAATCTAAAATTCTCAAAACTTCCAAATTCCTCAAAGCTTCTAAAACCTAAAATTTTCTAACCTAACTCTCAAAGTTTTCAACCACAACAACACAATACACAATAAATATAAACAAATTGAATTGCTAAAATACCTCTGAGCTAACTTTTAAAACTTCCAATGGATGTTAGATCTGGAAAAAAAAACAGTTAATAATATCAAAAATATAAAATAAAAGCTAACATAAATCAGTCACAAAACCAACAAATGTTTCACCTTAAATTTGACTCTTATGGAGTAAAAATGGAGTTGAGGGAGAGAGGCAGCAAGGGAGAAGGAAAGGGGGAAGAAGAAAGAGCAAGAGAACTGGAACGGAGGAAGGATATGAAATGTGAGAGAAATTCTGGATTTTTAATTTATAAGGGATGTTGCGACGTGGTTACTGGGACGGAAGTTTGCGACGTGGCAGCTGCTTCGGTAGTTTGCGACTTGATTTACCTTTCGGTAGTTACTGACGTGGAATTAAGGTCAGTAATATTCAATGCCAAGTTACTTTTCAAAGTTGCGACGTGGGATTTGTTTCGGTAGTTACCAGACGTGGATTTAAGGACGCAACATTTTCCCTTTATTATTTTATTACCGTTGCTCCACTAAATGCCAACGCAACGGGCAAAAATAATTAATGTAAGTGTGTTGCAAAGTGAAACACATTCCCCCTCTTAAAATTCCAAATTTTCGTTCCAGATTTTTCACCTACACAATTTATTAATTAAATATGTTAGTGACGTGGTAATCACTTGGCAACACATTTTTTTTCCTACGTGTTTACCACGTCACTAAATCACTAGGGAAAATGCACATTTTCTTGTAGTGAACGATCGGAAAAACCTAATGAAAAAGGAAAAGACAAGGTCATCGCAACCAAGTCCTGGGTTCGGGAGTCAGTTACGCAAGGGGAAGGTATGAGCACCCCTCAAGTCCGTCGTACTCGACGGGATCCATGCTTGTTGTATATATAAAGGTGTGTTTAAACTATCTACGCTAAAGGATCACAGGAAAAAAAGAAAAGAAAAGAGACTCGGCAGAGCATCGCCGCTCTGTGCCTACGTATTTCCTCGTGCAATGGGAAAGTCAAAGTCAACATAGTTCGGCTAACTACGGGCGAAAAAGTGGGAAGGTTGCTCGCCGAGACATTGCGTCTTGTGCCTATGTATTCTCATATGGTATGAGAAATCAGAGCAAACATAGTTCGGGCTGGTTCGAAACCACAGGTTGATTAAGTGTTTTAACCGAGTAGGGTTAAACCTTCGTTCTAGCAGTTAGGGACAATGCCTGTTTGCGGTAGAACCAAAGCTTAACAACACTCTTTTCTGAAAATTGTTTTCCATTATTAAGATCCCGAAGGATGAAAAAGGTTTGAACTTTGTTTTTGAAGTCTTTTAGAGAAGAAGTGCATTGATTATTGTTTGTAATTCATGTTGCACTAAAGACTATGACCTAGGAGCGAATGCGTCGCATATCACCCAAAGGGTGTACACTAAACACTCTAGGCCATTGAGAGGAATCCCCCCAATCACCATTTCCCAATTAACTTAAGGTTCGTAGCGTACAACATTCATTAACCTTTATTAAATGTTTTGAGAGAGTTTGAAGATGAGAAGAGAAAGGACACACTAAAGGGAGACTAACTCAATCCTAGTAGTTGTTATGCAAAGTGTACCTATAGTTGAGGTAAAAGGGAATGCTACCTAATGTTTTCATACATGATTTAAATCCTAAAGTCTATCATAATTGTCCTTGAGGAAGGAGATTAGAGATCTTAAGGGAACATGGCAAAGGAAGACAAAAGAAGAAGAATAATCAATTACAAGTAAGAGATGCAAACATGCAATGCAACACATAAGCAAAGGGACGAAAAGTGTAGGGTAAATACCTCCACAAGCACATCTCAACCTTTATTAATGCAAGAAAAAAGCTGCAAAAAGAATGCACACAAAGCAAAGAAATGCAAGAAAGCAAGCAAACATGAACATGCAAGCACACCATCACTTTGAACGACAACTACGAAAGCATGCCCTCAAGTGGAAACCAAACACACATGTCAACGAAATCACGATTAAAAAATCGAGAACAGTGACATATATCCAAAACACCTCACTCCTAATACATCATAATGATCTATGAAGATTCAAAGTGAAACGATACCACAACAAGCATGAAAAACAGCAAAACATGCCTGCTGACGCAGTGTTAATCGATTAACACCAGGGGTTAATCTATTAACCATTGAAAAATGCGTAAAAATTTGAATATTTGAGTTGGTTAATCGATTAACCAATTGGTTAACTGATTAACACTGTTCCAACAGCAGAAAACAACAGCAGAAAAGCACTTTTCAACAACTTATCACTTAAGCAAACATCCACATGATCTCATAAACAATTGTGCACGAAATTAAACCATAAAACAGTGATCTAAACAAGATGCAAACACATCTAAACAACACCATCACAATTCATATGGATCAAGAATCAACCAAAATCAATCAAAGGTGAAGATTAACATGATTATGCAAAATAAGCTCAAAAATGCAATAGATCTAGAATTCCAACCTTCGAAGCGGAGAATTGATTCGGTTAATGTTGATTCACTTTGAATGTGTAGATCTAAACAAGAAATCTGGAATACTCCAAGATCCAAGCCAATTCTTTTAATAGAAGTGATGATCAACCAAAATTAAGCCAAATTACTCCAAATAATCACTTCTAGATCCACTTCAAAATTCAGATCTAAGTTTGCACGAAAATCAAATGGAAAAATGGAGATGATGATGACAAAGGATGAAGGTTTTAGCTCAAGAATTCATTGATTCCAGTGGAGAATCAAAGAATTCCATGGATGAAGAGCTTTGGTGAAGGTTTTGGAAGTTGAGAGAAAATTGAGAGAATTGAGATGAATTCTGAAATTTGAGATGAAATTATGAAGATTAGCTGTGTGAGGTTTGGAGTAAACCAATTAAATACCCCATAGGTTTGGATCCAAATGAGAGGTTTGGAATGTGGTTTGTGAAATTTGGTTTGGAATGAGGAATGGAGATTTGGAGGAAAAATGAGATTAACCAAAATTCAATATGATTCTAGATCCTTCCCAAGTGTAAAATTGAACTTCCCAATGATCAAAATTGGAACCCAAAGTGACCCCCTTTGAAAATTCACGTGCAGAGGCAAAACCTGCACTGGTTAATCGATTAACAATTTGGGTTAATCGATTAACATTGTTAAAATTTCAAATTTGGCCTGATTTTGACTTGGTTAATCGATTAACACATTTGGTTAATCGATTAACACCTTCAAAATTTTGAATTTGGCGCCTTTTGGAGGGAAATCTGCACATTTGCTCGTTTTCAGTCGTTCTGAGCTCTGTTCAACTTATGAAACTTGCTCTTGAATATCATAACTATGAAGATGCTTGCGATAGCTTGAATGCTGCTTTCTGAGTTGAAAATACCTTGCAAAACAAAAATAAAATCGACCTCTCGATCGCTGGGCAAGATAAATGTTGGAGCCTCCGATGCTTGCTGTTTAGTTTCTTGCACCAAAAATGAAAACTGAACCACAGGAAAACCTTGATCCCGTGTCCCAAGAATGAATGCTATGCAAATGCAAAAATGCAAAG